GTGGGAAGCCTGCTTCTCCCTCTCCCACTCCCACTCCCTCTGCTTGTGTTCCCTCTCTCGCTGTGTCTCTGTCAAATAAATAAAATCTTTAAAAAAAAAGAAGTGGATGCTAAGGCTCATGTAGAAAATTCAAGTTAATCCATCAAATCTGATCACAGAGATACGTTATAAAGCAACAGAATGTGTGAATTAGGAATAAAGGGGGGGAAACAAATACATAAATTCTAAATTAGAAGAAGCCAAGCTTATATGGAAATTGATTAATTTAAAAACATGTTTTCCTCATTCTATTGGTACTGGCTGCAGACTAACGACAACAGCTACAAGAACTGTTTTCAATTTAGGGTATAAACAGCAAAGCTGAGTCTTACATTTGCTAAACTACCTTTTGGAGAATATTGAAAAAAATGGTATAGTCTTGCTTTGTTACTTTGCCTCAGTGCTTTATATGGAACAGATATGTCTATAGTGAATACCATTACAAACTTGTAGTGAATATTATTATCAACCTGTGATCATTGTCATGCAGTTGACATTCTAGGTAATCATACATAAATAAGAAAAAGAAATCAATTATATAGAATGTTAAATATTGATAAGTGCCAAGGAGAAAAAATAAAGCAGGAAAGGGTAAAGTTTAGGGGGTATGTATGTTTAAGTGTCTGTGTGCGTGGCAGTGTTTAAAACATTTAAAGGTGTTGAAAAATGTTCAGATAGGCCGAAGAGGGACCCCATTATCCAAAGCACATACAGAGAAGAGTGAGAAATTCATGCCACTGCTGGTTATAAACACAGGATATTGCTGCCAAATTGCTTGTTATTCTTGGTGTGTGTCCAAGATAGTCTTGTTGAGCTAAAAATCAAACTTCTAAAAAGTTTAAATAAGAAGAACTGACTCTATTTAATGGGTGAAATTACACGCTTTTTAAATATTTATTTATTTATATAACATGCTTTTTAAAGAAAAGCTTCTTCCTTTCCTTCCTTCCCTTTCTATTTATTATTTTTTAAATTTTATTTTATTGTTATGTTAATCACCATACATTACATCATTAGTTTTTGATGCAGTGTTCCATGATTCATTGTTTGCGTATCACCCAGTGCTCCATGCAATACGTGCCCTCTTTAATACGCATCACCAGGCTAGCCTATCCCCCCACCCTCTTTCTTACTTTTTTAAATAAAGGTATCCAGCTTTATTTTACATTGTTGCCTACTCTTTTTTTTTTTCTTTTAAAGTAAGTCCTATGCCCAATGTGGGGTTCGAACTCATGACCACGAGATCAACTTGCATATGCTTCACTGACTGAGTCAGTCAAGCACCTCAGAAAAGCAGCTTTCTTGTTTTTATTTTTAGGAGAAGTAATTATAAATCGAGAAGGGAAATGAATGATTTGCTATATATAGCTGTCAAGTTTTATTTTAGACAACATAGTAGAGCTTTTAAAGTACGTGAAGGTCCCAAATGTCAATCCATTTGGGCAGAGAGTTCATATTCTTCAAAATGATGGCAATTTCTTGAATACTACTGAGTCCATCAATTTTGGAAAAAACCCAGCTACTTAGAAATATGACAGTCTTGCATTGTCTGGGTTATGCTGTTTTACATTGCTTTGCTGATTTTGTATTGGAAATCATCAGGACAGCCCCTGTTGTCCACCAGAGTAACAGATTAATGAATATGCTAATGCATGTCTCCTCATCCCAAACCACTCTTCGGCAAATCTTTTGGTGCTTAAAGAATTGCATTCTCTCCTGCAGGATGATTTGGGAAACATTTAGTGTGCCTAGATTGTAATGAAATCTTGTTAACCACAAGGAAGATGATCCACTGAGAGCCTCATTTCCTATCATCCTAGCAGCAAGCTAGGACATGGGAAAGAACTGATCTCAGTATAATTCCTGTGGCACATTTTCCCCATGCTTTGCTGGATAAGTGGACAAGGCAATGCGCAACATTCAGATTACAAGAATGCTTGAACTGCCCGTTATCTATAGGAGAGTTTATGACCAACCTTCCCACAGCCAGCCGGAGAGAAAGAAGAGGCACTGGGTAAGTTATGGCTTATCACCGCTAAACATGTGAGCACAGACGTAAAGCCAATCAACAGGAGCCTAGATGCTGCAGTTGGCCTGAGTTCAAACCCTGAATCATCTACTTACTCTGGGACTTGGAGCAAATTTTTTGTATGTAACCCTCTGTATGCCTCAATTTCCTCATCTGTAAAATGAAGAAAATAATAGTACAAACATTATAAGGTTGATGTGAGGAAAATGTATGTGTAATTGAAGTCCCCAAAGAGAAGAAAGAGAAGAAAAAGTATCTCAAGAAATAATGGCTGAATTTTTTCCAAACTGGATGAAAATTATAAACCCACAGATCTAAAAAGTTAAAGAACCCCAAGACAGGAAACATGAAGAATGTTACGTCAAGGCACATAATAACACAAATGAAACAAACAAAAAACTCTGCCCCAAACTAGGGCAGTGGCTCTCAACCAGGGATGATTCCTTTCCATCCCCAACCCCCAGGGGGTATTTTGCAATCCTGAAGACATTTTTTATTGTCACAACTGAGAGAGGGGAACAGGTGTGTTACTGGAATCTAGTGGGTAGAAACCTGGAATGTTGCTAATAAACCTCTTACAATGCACAGGACAGCCCCCACAACAATAAATCATCCTGCCACAAATATTAATAGTGCTAAGGTTAAGAAACACTAGAGGCATTTAATAATCAAAATGCTTAAAACCACTGATACAAAGAGAAAATCTAAAATCATATCCTTACTATATTTTCTCATTCCTGACAATACAAAAAGTACAGTTGATCCTTGAACAGCACAGGTTTGAACTGTGGAGGGTCCACTTATATGTGAATTTTTTTGGATACAGTACAGTACTATAAATGTATTTTCTTTCTTATGATTGTATTAATAACATTTTCTTTTCTACCTTACTTTAAGAATACAGTATACAACACATGTAGCATACAAAATATGTGCTCATTGAATTTATGTTATCAGTAAGGTATCCAGTCAACTCTAGGCTATTAGTACTTAGTTTGGGGGGAATCAAAAGTTATATACAGATTTTCAACTGTGGGGGGAGGGAGAAGTATCAGCACCCTTGACCCCAGCGTTGTTCAAGGGTCAACTGTATGTGATATTGTAATACTAAGCACTTTTTGTAAATCACCCACCATGTTTAAGCTAGGAGCTGACCACCAAAAGTAAAGGTGCCTGGACCGGTAACAGGACTGAGTACTGGATGTAAATTAAAATCTCATTTCAGCTCAATAAACATTTACAGGGACTACTGCCATTGTATATAGTATATATCAGTACAATTCTCCAAGTTGGTCTCTTCATTTAATGCAGTAATCTTTCTGACACATCATGCCTATTGAATGCAAATTCTATTCAAAGTCACAAAAAAGGCTTAAAAACTCCTACCAGTTCTGCTGGGGTTTTCTTAATGACAAGGTTTATGGATCTTTTAAAATCAGATATGAAATGGCATTTTGTGATAGGATATCAAGAATAAAAACCCAGGCAGATTATATACCTACTAAATACTAGGCACTGAACTAGGAACTTTATATTCATGATCTCATAGTCCTCAAATAAGTAATTTGGGTTTGGTATTATTGCCACCTTCATTTTGCAAACAAAACAGATGAACAAGTTCACTGACTTGCCCCTAATCACAAAGCTAAGAAGTGGTGGGGCCAGGATTTGAACTGAAGTCTATTTTGGAAAACAATGCACTACCAAAATAACAACTAGCTTTAACAATACTCAACTTAAGATCATAAATGTTCTTTTATTTTAGTTCACTATTTTGGATCTTCACAACAAATCTATATATATCTATATTGTTAGAGCACTGGTCCACCACATGAATTTATTCAGACACATTGGTATCCCAAAGACAGCTGTGGTAAGGCATATTAGCCTATATTTCTTCATTTTTCTGTCAACAGAGGGAAGTACGGTAAGAGTGGTCAGAGCTACAACAGGAACTGTGTATTGTGTATGTCATTTATTAAAATCTACCTTAAAGTTTTATCTTTATAGATGACTAGTCTACAGAAGGGAAGGAAGAGGCAGTTACTTTTGTTTGATATGTCACACATGAAAGAAACTTCAGAATCACTTCTTTCAAACATACAAATCAGATCTCTTTGGTTCAATTTAGGTAGATTTTTAAAAAAATTTTATTTATTTATTTGCAGAGAGAGAGGGAGAGAGAGAGCACGTGCACAAGCAGGGGGAGTGGCAGGCAGAGGCAGAGGGAGAAGCAGACTCCCCACAGAGCAGGGAGCCCAACTCGGGGCTCGATCCCAGGACCCTGGGAGCATGACCTGAGCAGAAGGCAGACATTAACCGACTGAGGCACCCAGGTGCCCCAAGTTAGGTAGATACACAGAAAGCTAGAAACATACATTTTTTTTGGTTTGTTTTTCTGAATGGTTAGGAAAAAAAGCCATGTAGAGTAGCATACTTACCAACCAAATGGTTTAGCTTTAAAAAATCAGCAATTCATCAGTGCTCTAAATGAGTCAAATTGAATTTTGTGCTTTAAGGAGTAATGCTCTAAGATTCAAAAGTGAATATTCAACGCAATTAGAAAAACTGAGCCAATTTTCTTCTTTAGTGGAGAAATGATAGATCAATATGTTTTTTAATTGGGAAGTAGAAACATTAATAAAGTCTATACAATGAATAATCTAGTTTCACAGAATACAAGGGCTTCAAACACTTAAAGGAAGATTTGACTTCACAGTTGTTTTTTTCTTAACTTTACCTTGATACTTCATTTTTCTTCCTCTTTCTCAGGTGGTTCTATATACAAGTTACACAGAATTCAAACAAATGAAATTATATGTAACTTATAATTCATTAACTCTACAAACATGCTTTATTTCCCCCTCCAATCAGCTTTTTCAGAGTCCTGTATGCTCCCTATAAACAATTAAAAAGAAAAGTTTATACTTACTAGAAAGAACAGTTGTAAGGAAAATGTAGTCTGAAAAGGATATGAGTCCACATTCTCCAAGGGTGTAAAATATACTGCCTTCGTCAGCAAATTTTTCTCGTTCCTGGGCAATTTTCTATTAAATACATGGGTCCCACAAAGAGATAAAAAGAAGACATAGCAGAATGAGAACACAGATCATTAGAGATGAATCACCATTTATGTGATAGTTTTACGCTACTTATCATAAGCAATTCTCTGATGGCCATTCCAAATTAATGGATCCTTTACAGTTTCCAAGATGATTAAAATTATAAGACAAAAGATCATTTTGCTTATTTCAAAACTGGCTTAAAATGAACACTAGAAAATAATTTCAATTTTATGAACTCCTGCTATTTGACATATACTGGTCCACTTTGGACTGGTTTTGTTTCTTGGGTTTAAAAACAATCCGCCTGAATTGTTGAATGACTATCTTTTACACCTGAAACTAATATAACACACTATGTTAACTATACTGGAATTAAAATAAAAACTTCAAAAAAATAAAAAAATAAAAACAATCCACCTTTTTCTAAAGAGGCATATAAAGTAGAAAAAAAACAAAAACAAAACAACAAAAGAAACAAAAAAAACCCCCAAAATGAAATCGGTACAATTTGCCCAAAAGAAGTCAGTTTATTGCCTAAGAAAAACTATACCACTTGTGATCAGAAATGAAGAGGTAAGCAACTATTTTCAAGGACCACACAAATGCTCAGAAAAATAAATTCTGAAATACTAATTTTAATTTTTACCTTAGGATCCCCAAGAATCTTAGGTTTGGAATGTAGGACAGTTTGCAGAGCAAACAGCACCTCTGAAAGATAATGGCAAATCAAGACATGCACACTAAGATTTAGGCATGATTTAATTTAGTTGTATTTATTGATACCTTGCCGGAGGTTCCTAAGTTTCAGCTATTTCATGAAACTCTCCTAAAACTTACATTTTATTCTAAGTATATATATATATTTTTTTTTAATTCTAAGTATATATTAATTTTTGCTTAATCTATAAAACTCACAAAGAGTTGATTCTTAGCCTTAGTAATGGCCTGTCTGCCAAGTGGTGTCCTCCTGTGTGTTTAAGCAAAGCTACCTGTTTTCTGAATTTCTAGCCAAATGATAAACTTAGTGGTGACATTGAAGATATTTTCAAAAACTGAAAAGGATCCACCAAAGAGTTAGACTTGGAACTAATTTCCGTAAGTTCTGGACCAACTAAAAACAGTCAAGGAATTATTCTGGGTACCAAAAATAGAAATAGGAGGTTTTAAGAACCCAAACCAACAAAGAGCAATCAAAGTAATAATGTCATGCAAGCACAAAATAAGAAGCAGCATTGCAAACATAACCTCAGGAGGAGTATCATGAAAACTAAACCAACAAGCACCACCACAACAGCATCCAGGTACACAACTATCCAATAGGTTACCTCTGTCTAGTGAAGATCCCATCATACATCACAAAAGAAAGAAAACTAGTTAACCAATTGAAAATACAAGTACCAAATGAATCATCATGGTCTTCTTAATAAACCTATCCAAAATAGCCTGTATTGGGTATTTGCTTATTCATAAGAAACGGTAAGCATAAACAGGTAAAAAGTCCATAGCTGAATGCTAACAAAGCAGTGAGGTTCTGATGGCACATTCTAGTTAGGAAAGGACTTCTTTGACTCATCTGTGGTGGACAGAAAGCATGGTTCTGTTTGACAGCATTTAGAGATTACTTCTCTGAACTGACAACAAAAATGAGCAACATAGTCCAATGTGTTCAAATTAAGGTTAGACCTCCTATCACACTTGATCTTCTACCAAGAGACTGAACACAAATTTCAAAGAAAAAAAAAGGCTACTGGAAGAGAACTAGAGCAGCAAAGGCTTTCACTGGAAAGTTAACATTTTAATTTCTCAAAAAAGGGAAATAAATGGTTACATTTTTTATATTATCCAAGATACCGCAAAAATAAAGTATGTGAGTAAGAAAAATTACATAAAATGAGAACAGGCTCCCACAGGCATAACATTACTAGCTAGAACAATAAATATGTATAAAAGCTGAGTGCTTTGTATTAATTATGTAATGATTGTACAGAGAGATTGCCATAAGCCAATAAAATAAATATTGGGATCCAGAAGTTGAGAAACACACAAAAGTCTTAAAGACAGAGTGAAAAGAGGCAACTAAGACAAAGAAGCATATCTAACAGTATTTTTTTTCTAACAATCATCTGGACTATGCTACTGTTCCAAAGATGACAAAAAGATAAATCTAATTCTGTTGTAACTTTTAATTTTGATATAATTTCAAACTCAGAAAAGTGGAAAGATCAATATAAGAAATTAACATATACTTTTTTCCTCTTATGCTTTTTACCCACATTCACTGATAGTTTACATATTACCTTAGTTGCTTCATTTTATATAAATATTCTTTTATACCTCTGAGAGTTCAATACCCATGTCCCTTTACATTTAAATACTTCACTATATACTTCCTATGAACAGACATTCTCTTACATACCACAGTATAAATTTAATAAAACCAGAATATTTAATACTGATACATACTATTATCTAATCCAGTCTTTTTTTTTTTTTTAAAGATTTTATTTATTTATTTGAGAGAGAGAGACTGAGAGAGAGAGCACATGAGAGGGGGGAGGGTTGGGAGGGTCAGAGGGAGAAGCAGACTCCCTGCCGAGCAGGGAGCCCGATGCGGGACTCGATCCAGGGACTCCAGGATCATGACCTGAGCCGAACGCAGTCGCTTAACCAACTGAGCCACGCAGGCACCCTCTAATCCAGTCTTTTAAATGTAGTTAACTATTACAAAAATTTCCTTTCTAACGATTTTTGCCCCAGCCCAAGATGGAATCCACAATCATAAGTGGCATTCTCATGTCTCTTCAACCTCTGTAATCCAAAACAGCTTTTTTTTGCCCTTCTTTATTTTTTCCTTTGGAGGTTTATTGTTATTTTTGATCATAGAAAAATATATGTAACATAAATTCACCATTTTAACCATACAATATGTGGGCCTTTGGGTTTTGCCTTCATGCACATGTCTTCTAGGTTCATCCATGTTGAAGCATCCACTTAGTACTTCATTTCTTTTAATCACCAAATAATATTCCATTGGATACATACCACGATTTGTTTGTCCATTCATCCATTTAAGGATATTTGGGGTGTTTTGAGCTTTTGGCTCTTGAGAACAGTACTACTGTGAACATTCATGTGCAAGTATTTGTTTGACTATCTGCTTTCAATTCTTTTGGGTATGTGCCTAGGAGTAGAACTGCTGGGTCACACCATAACTCTATGTTGAAGTTTTTGAGGAATGGCCAAAATGTTTCTCAGAGCGGCTGCACCATTTTACATTACTACTACCAAAGTACAAAGGCTCTAATTTCTCTACACCATCATTAACACTTACCTTCCTTTTTTAAAAAAAATTAGAGCCAGGGCTCCTAGGTGGCTCAGTTCGTTAAGCGGCTGCCTTCAATTCAGGTCTTGATCTCAGAGTCTTGGGATCAGCCCTGCGTTGGGCTCCCTGCTCATTGGGGAGTCTGCTTCTCCCTCTCCCCCCTCCCCCTGCTCATGCTCTCTAATAAATAAAAAAAATCTTAAAAAACTATATTGCTATTCTAGTGAGTGTGAAGTGGTATTTCATTGTGGTTTGATTTACTTGTCCTTTTGTTATTGAGTTGTAAAAGTTCTTTATATATGCCTTTTTTTTTTTTTTTAGCTCTTCATATACTCTGTATACAAACCTGTATCAGGTATGATTTGCAAAAGTTTTCTCCATTCTGTTCATTGCCTTTCTACTACCTTGATAGTGTCCTTTGATGCACTAAGGGCTTAAATATTGAAGTTCAATTTGCTTGTGCTTTTGATGTCGTATCTAAGACTCCAACACCAAATCCAAGTTTATGAAGATTTACCCCTATGTTTCTTCTAACACTTTGGTAGTTTTAGCTTTTACATTTAGGTTATTGATCCATTTTGAGTTAATTTTTGTATGTACTGTGAAGTAGGGATCCAACTTCATTCTTTTGCATGTGAATATCCAGTTGTCCCCACACTATTTGTGGACAAATATTCTTTCACCACAGAATGGTCTTCACACCTTGTTGAAATCAACTGACTATAAATATGTGGGTTTATTTCTGGGCTCTCAATCTCATTCCATTGATATATATGTCTTTTTTATGCCAATACCATACTGTTTATATTTTTATAATTTTTTAAATTGTGGTAAAATGTACAAAAACTTTTTTAAAGTGTACAACTCAATGGTAGTAGGTGCATTCACAATGTTATGTGACTATCACCACTATCTAGTTCCGGAACTCCTTCCCCATAAAACAGTTACACTCCACTGCCCCACTTCTTCTAGCCCTTAATCTACTTTCTGTCTCTATGGAGTCACCCAGATATTTCATATAAATGGAACCAGTTATTCTGTAGATTACAATTAACATCTTAAATTTACAACCATCTAGTTTGAATTAATACCAACTTAGCTTCAATAATATTAAAACAAACTCTGCTCCTCTAGAGCTCTTATTTTCATAAATTACATCTTTATACAGTGTTCCCATTAACACAGATTTAAAATTATTTTATGCATTTGTCTTTTAAATCACACAGGGGAAAAAAGTAGTTAGAAACCCAAAATACAATCACAATTGGCTTTTATTTACCTGTGTTGTTACGGTTACTGGTGTCATTTGTTCATATAGCTTCAAGTTACTATCTAGTGTCTTTTCATTTCAGCCTTAAGGACTCCCCCCCCTTTTAAGATTTTATTTATTTGTCAGAGAGAGCGAGCACGCACAAGCAGGAGGAGTGGCAGGCAGAGCAGGCAAAGGGAGAATCAGGCCCTCTGCTGAGCAAGGAACCCAATGCGAGACTCGATCCCAGGACCCCAGGATCATGACCCAAGTTGAAGGCAGATGCTTAACTCACTGAGCCACCCAGGCATCCCAGGACTCCCGTTAGCATTTTTAAAAATAGGGTAAGTCTACCAGCAACACTTACTTTCACGATTCTTTGTCTTAGTTTTTGACAGCTTGATTATAATGTGTTTAATGGTAGGTATCTGTGAATTTATCCTAGTGTAGATTCACATATTTCATTAATTTATAAAGTTTTCCGCCATTATTTCTTCAAATATTGCTCTCTTCTCTTTCTCCTTGCCTTCTGGAATTCCTATTATACATATGTTGGTACACTTAATGATGTCACAAAGATATCTTAAACTCTGTTCATTTCTCTTTATTCTTTTTTCTCTGTTTCTCACACTGGATAGTATTTTTTTTTTTTAATTTTTTTTTTTATTCTTATGTTAATCCCCATACATTACATCATTAGTTCTAGATGAAGTGTTCCATGATTCATTGTTCGT